ACATATTCTTCTGGAGATTTCTAAATAGAATGCCTGACAAAATTAAAAATATTCTTTTTTCCCAGTACCTACTGATCCTCAACCCACCAGGTTTCAGATTAGAAATCATAGCTCCTATAAGTATTCTAGGACATCTCTCCCCAAAACACGCACACCAGGATGAGTTAAATGGCCCTTATACGTACTCAAACAGCACCTTGACACTGCACATGAGTAAGAACCAGTGCCGGGCCTCAGTAAGGCCAGTAAGAGAAGGCAGACACATAATACGAATGTTGTGTGAACTTCTAAGATGTGCAAGAATAACCAAACGCTTTCTTCCAATTGCAATTTGACCAGAAATGGGCACTGCGACCTTGGCAAGTCGTTTAAACCTCTTCACGTTTCACTTTGTTTAGCTACCGGAAACGTATGAGGAAAAGACTGTAAAGAACAAATAAAATTACCAGAAACTTTACAGTACTCATTCCAGTAAAGAGCTGCTGCAGGAATCAGAGAAGCAGTATTCTGGATTTATTACGTATTGCCTGCATTTCAGATTCCGCAAATTAACCAACGTTGCCTAGACCGGCCAAAGAGCTGAGACTTTTGCCTTCTGGGCCAGGAGGGCGTAGTTTTCACTACTGAGCCAGCTGGGCTTCCAGCTTTCCTTCTGAATCCAGCACCCTAGGAAAGGGCCTATGAAGAAAATCTTCGACCCTGACACTCAGGCAAAAGGCTGAACCTAGTCTCTAAACCAGGGGGACGGGACCAGAACACGTGGGCCGCGACAACACCCTTCCCACGGAACCGCAGCGAACACTTTGTGACCAGCAGACAACCACGTCTTGCGCCCCGCGACCGCCCTAAGCGTGAGGAACACCGCGCAAGCGCGCGGCAGCCTCCGCCCCTCGCTTACCTTCCGCTGCTGCTGTTTCCACCGCGTGAACATTAAGTGTCGCCGCTGTTTGTTTTTAATCTCCGAAATGCTGAAGCCTGGCGGAAAGGCAACCGCTTTCGGGGGCTGGCCCCCGCTTTCCGTCGCCCCATCCCCAGCGAATGTAGCCTCCTGAAGTTCTTCGGCAGCGGCTTTCCGTTTCAGGCTTTTCTTCCCGCTGGGGCTGCCGCTCTTATCCCCGGACTTCGCCATGGTGTCGGCTCCTTTGCGTCCGTACGGAAACGGAAATAGCGTTAGTCTGTGACGCTTTCGTTAACCTTTTACTTCCGGGGTTGCAAAGTTTCTAAAACTGTAGACGGCTTTTGTGAGTTTTAGCCATTTAAGAAAGTAGTAAAACAGGCTTCAGGAAGGTGTAGGCAGCTTACCCAGTTGTATGAATTGTGCGATGGTGAGTTCGGGCACTCCTTGCGCATCTATGTGCCCAACCCTCAAAATGATCGAGCAACAACAAAAAATCTCTCCCGGTTTAGTTTACGTTTTACTTGAGGGAAACCTGAAATGAGCACACAAAGAAATTGTGGTGAGCTATAAAGTAAGACATGATATGGAAAGAAATAAAACAGGATAAAAGAAGATAAAGAGGGTAGAGGGGCATGTTGCAATTTTTTCTTTTTCTTTTTGAGATGGAATCTTGCTTTATCGCCCAGGCTGGAGTGCAGTGGTGCAATCTCTGCTCATTGCAAACTTCTCCTCCTGAGTAGCTGGGAATACAGGCATGGGCCACCATGCCAAGCTAATTTTTGTATTTTTGCAGAGGTGGAGTTTCACCCTGTTGGCCAGGCTGGTCTCATACTTGTGATTTCAGGTTATCTGCCTGCCATGTTGGCCAGGCTGGTCTCTTACTCCTGATCTCAGGTGATTTGCCTGCCTTGGACTCCCAAAGTACGTTGCAATTTTAAATAGGATTCTATTAAGTAGGTGTCATTGAAAACGTTACATTGAGCCAAGATTTGTCGGAGGTAATTAGATAAACTATATCGTTATCTTAGTGAAGAGCTGTTAATCTGAGAAAAAATTGGCTATCTAGGAGAAAAGCCATCCTGGCAAAGTAAACAGCCAGCTCCAATGCTCCTAGTCAGTAGCAAGCCTGCCATGTTCAAGAAAACACTATGGAGGTCAGGAGTCAGATGAGAAGGGAGGAGAGGAAGGAAAGGCAAGAAAGGTTGAGATTGGACGAGTGGTGTAGAGTTTTGAAAGGATTTTGGCTTTCATTTTATATGAGATGTAGATCTCTTGTAGGATTTTGAGGAAAAGAATGATATGATCTTAACGTCTTTAAAGCATCAGGCTGGTGCAGTGGATCATGCCTATAATTTTAGCAGTTTGGGGAGGTAAGGCAGGAAGATTGCTTGAGCCCAGGAGTTCAAGACCAGCTTGGGCAACACTGCAAGAACCCATGTCTACAAAAAGTAAATATATATATATATATATATATTTGGGCATGGTGCACTCCTGTGGTCCCAGCTACTCAGGAGGCTGAGGTGGTAGGATCCCTTGAGCCTGGAAAGCTAGGTTGCAATGAGCCATATTGGTGCCACTGCACTCCAGCCTGGGTGAGAGAGTGAGACCCTCTCTCAAAAAGTAAAAAATTAAAATAAAGTAAAAGTATCATTCTGAATTTTCTTTTGAGAAGAGTTGATGTGGGGGCCGGGTGTGTGGAAGAAGGGAAGAAATGACAGTGGCCTGAACCAGGGTAAGTCTAGTGTAGGTGGTTGAGAAGTGATTCTTCTGGAAGGTAAAGTTGCTGATGGAACTGAATGGAGGATGCCAAGACTTTTGACCTGAGTGATTAAAAGGATGGAATTAACATCAGGTGAAATGCGGGAAACTTCAAGTGGAACAAATTTGAGAGGTAAGATCAATAATTCAGTTTTGGAAATGTTAAGTTTGAGACACTTATTAGTGATCTGATTGGTGTTGTCAACTAGTCAGTTGGGATGTTTGATTCTGCAGCAGGAGAGAGAGGTGTCGGCTGGAGATCAAAATTTGAGAGTCATTGCCGCATAGATAGTATTTCAAACCGTTAGAGTGAGTGTAGACTGAAAACTGAAAAAGATCAGGAACTAAACCCTGGAAGAGTCCTGCATGAAGAGATCGAGAGAAAAGGATGACCAAGCAAAGGAGAAGGAGAAGAGAAAATCAAAAGAGTAGAATGTCATGGAAGGCAATGGAAAACAGTGTTTTCATAGTGGTTAAATTTGCTATATTCTTCATTTTAATTTTATGAAAATGCTTTCCAAATAGCAACAAAATAATCCCTTTTGATTTACTCTTAGGAGTCAGTTTTCCCGGAACTGCCTTAATTTCAAATTGTATGGACCAATGTCTATATTTAGTATTTTTATAATCCAATCTGTTTTTGTCCATATTTCATTTTGTACCCATTTAAGTTCTATTTAACAATAGCAGGATATTAAAAGCATCAATACTGTGTCTTCCAGAATACAAGCCCCATCCAAACCTGCTATTGACTACAAGTTTAAAATTTAGACTACAAGTTTACAATTGCTGTTAAAAAATTTAAAATAATTGAACCCAGGAGGCAGAGGTTGCAGTGAGCCTAGATCGAACCATTGCACTCCAGCTTGGCTGATAGAGTGAGATTCTGTCTCAAAAAAAAAAAAGTCAACAAGAGTAGAATTAATACAATTTTATGAGGAGGCATTAGAGCTACACACCCTCCCACCCAAAGCTGAATTGGAGTGCTATTCAGAAATTGAAAACCTGGGGAATAATTGTATGCTGAATACAGTCATTTCTATATACTCCATACTATGAAACAAACATAATACATGTGCTGGCTTTTTTAGAAAACAAAATTATGTCTTTGGTATAATTTGCAATCATTTCCTTCAGGTGTTTTGCTTTTTTCAGATCCTAAACATGGCCATGACGGTAATGGATGCAAGGACAATCCTCCAGATATTTTCCAGGTAGCTTGATCCCTACCAATAAGGTGAGCCATTTAGATGAATGGGAATTTTTATGCCTATTAATATTTCCAGAAAGTGTATAGTTCTACATGAGTCTTCTTAGGTGATCCAAATTTCTGAGCAGAGAGAGAGAGAGCACTGCCACAATCAAATTTAGTTTTACTAAAGTATCATCTCTTAAAAGGATTTCTGGTTGTATGAATTCATTATAGGAGCTTCTATTTATATCTTTGGAATGTATATAGTACCTCTGGCTGGTGTTTCTGACTATAGGACTATAGAGCAACCATAAATATAATTTAAATATCAGTCTGGAATGGCTTTTCAGTGTCTAAGTACTTATTTTGTTGATTTATTCATGCAACAAATATTTAAGTCATTCTTGTCCTCTGGATATAGCAATCAAAAAGGCACCACTCCCTGCTCCATGGAACTCCAGTGAGGAGAGAACCAGTACACTAGCAAGTACAAAAAAGAGTTTCTTTAACAGCCATCGTGTTGTATAATCAAGACCAAATTTAGAATTACAACTTCCTAGTGCCTTCTTCAAAGAGCCAGAGTAGGTATATTTGTAAGTTCCTTTTTGGTAGTTCAGCTATCTGTTTTTCATAGAAATTAACCTGTATCCAGTCCAGAGACACAAATATTTAAAACACAAGGTAATAAAGCACAGTCCTTAGCTTAGCCTAGCAGTTCTCAAACTTTTTGTCTCATAACCTCTGCACATTATTAAAAATTATTGAGGACCCCCAAAGAGCTTTTGTTTATGTGAGTTATATTTGTTAATGTTCACCATATGGAACTTAAAATTGAGGAAAAAATTAAATATGCATTTATTTATTTAAATGTAATCAAACCATTATATAATAACTTACATACTTTGTGAAAATTACTATATTTTCTTTTAATTTTTAATTTTTTCTTTCTGTAAACTAAGAAAATGATATTTTCCAAAATAAAAGATTAATGAGAAAAATAGCATTTAAAATGTATCTCTTCAAGTCTCTTTTGTATTATAATTAATAGAAGATAGCTGGATTTATATATGCCTCTCTGCATTTAATCTGTTGTAATATACCATTAGTTTGAAGCATATGAAGAAATTCTGACCTCAAACAAGTATGTGATAAGACAAGGGAGGAGTATTTAAGAGCTTTTTCAGATAATTGTGAATATTCTTCTTTGATACTGCATTAAAATTTAAGAAGTGGTAAGTTTTTTAGATATTAGTTGCAATGTGGAATATGAAATAATATCAGTGAGCTTTCCCTGTTCTATTACATTAAAATCTATTGGTCTGTCTTGCATTTTGAATGGACCTTTTACTGATGCATAATTTTATAAGAACATGCATTCATTGGTCATTTGGAAAATGTTGGTTTGCGGAGTTTTGCATAATACCCAAAGTTGACACATTCATTATGTAATTTCAAGAAATAACATTTAAGATTACTACTAATTTTATCAGAGAAGTCTGAAAGTGCTGGTAAATTGTCAAGCTCATAGCAATGGATACAACTTTCCTTTCTTTAATCCCTAGGTTGCTTAGAGATTTTCACTTGAATAGGAGCTTTCTTGGCTCCAGGTCACTGACAGTGGTTCCTTGCAACACAGGGTAGGAGGTTGGAATTTAAGGGACTGAGGAGTTTGGGGTGGTAAGGGCCCATTGTTGATATAAACTTTCCAGGGCTGTTTTACAGGCTAGGCCATCTTTCAATTATCTTCTTTCATCTGTGGATCCCTGAAAATTGGCTTACTTTTTCATAACTACTCCATTAGTTAACAAGAGCAACCTTACATGAAGCCTTAATATATTCTGGGAAATTGTTTAGGGAGGCAATCTGAGGAATGCTTTGTGGTGGTCCTTCCACTCTACTCAGTTGTGCAGCATGGAAGGCACTATCTCACTGTATGATGGATCCTAAGGCAGCATTTTGGGAGAGTCAAAGTTTATCTATCGTTTGTTGCTTCCGGCCAAGGTTTTTCTTTTTTCCTCACCCACTATAGAAAACAATATCTTCTCACAGCCTCTCCTCTTGTTCTTAAGGCAATCAATAAACTTTTCCATTTTTTTTTTTTTTTTTCCTGTAAGGCAAACAGATGAAATAAAGAAAAAAGTCTCCTAATCCCTTATCCCTCTGTACTCTAACCTTGATGATAAGGTCCTATATAATGTGGATCTTTGACTCCACAAAAAATTGGAAGAGAGTTAAGCTTCATTTAGGGGAAATAATGAAATTAAATAGCTTTCTTGGAATTCCTATCACAAGAGCCAAGAGGGCTTCCTTGGCAAAGGGAAAGATAAGGAGAGGAAGAGCAGTGTGAGGAACTGAAAATGTGTATAGGATCAGTGTTAACAGTAATGATATCATCAGAATGCAGAATTGGATGACACTCTTCCTATTTTTTCTCTATGTGACTGTTACTTTCTAGACTGATACTAGAGCGAAATAGCAGGGATTATATAAAGGACTTCTCAGTAAGTGATTAGGTTCTGAAAGTTTCTGTTATATTCCAGTACACTCCAGGGAAATTTTGTTTTTTTAGTTTCCCTAAAATTATTCCTTTTTTATTCTAAGCTGAGAGTTCAGAATAGAAACCAGTATATCCCAAAATCTGCCTTAGTCAAGGGCATTAAATAATGCCCATAACAGATGTAGAAAGTTCCAGACATCACTAGGTGATAGAACATCTCACACTTGCTAAAATCTTGCCAAAGGCCTATAGTATGATCCATGGAGGAACAGCAACAGCATCATCTGGAATTCTAGTAGATATGCAAAATCTTGGGGCTCACCCCCAGACCAACTGAAAGATCTCCAAGTGGTTCATAAACACATTAAAGTTTGAGAAGCATTGTTGAAGAAGATGTGTGTTACATCCCTTATCCCCACTAATTTCTGTTTATCAATCAGAAGCCTTGTTTTGGTCCAAACATTTGTGATTGATTTTAAATTATAGTTATTTTATTATTGTTAAAAATAGTATATTTTATTATTTTAAATATGATAGCATTACCTGAAGGGAAGACAGACTGGTAAAAACTATTGTGAGAAACTAAAATATTTGATTTGGTTTCTCACTTACTCCTTGTACAGATTTGGAATGAGATTTGGCAGATCTCTTATCTAACTGGTAGGCAACATAACAATTCAGGGATCTATGAATATACCTTGTCAGAACCAATGACTTTACTTTTCTTTCAGTCAATTACCCATGAAGATTAACTTAGGGAAGTTTTAGAATAGTGATTCTCAAAGTATAGTCCTTGGGCCAGCTGCATCCACATCACCTGGGAACTTGCTAGAAGTGCAGATGCCTGGGCTGTATAGAATCAGAGGCTCTGGGGATGGGACTTACAAATCTGGATTTTAACAAGCCCTCCATGTGATCTTGATGCATGTCCAAGTTGTAAATCCACTGGTCTTGATACATTATTATCTTCCGATATCAATAAGCTGACTATTTAGGGCTTTGTTTCTGTGGTGTCTATGGTAAGCTTTTCTAATGGGCAGATTTCATAACCAAATCAGCCTCTTTTCATGTCTTTATGTAGGAAATCTTGGTGTTCATACTAGTTCACAGTGCTCTAGCAATGGTAGTAGAGCTCGATATAATCAGCACCTTTAACTAAATAAAGTAGACATTAATGACTGACTACAAAATCATGTTTACTTTTCCCTGAAGTTAGTTAAAAATCTGACACTATAGTATGCTCAGGTGACTCTTGGACATGTTATTCATATTCATTCCTGCTCATATTAATATCTAACACTGATCAGCTCCATTGCCCAGAAATAGCTGATTTTTAAATCTCAGCAATAAGACATTAAATCTTTTCCTCATAAATGCAGTGTGGTGTCCTAAATTGAATCCTGGAACAGAACACAAAACAAAACAAAACCCAAAAACAGTAGTAGAAAATGGATGAAATTGGAATAAAGTCCAAAGGTCATCTAATAGTAATATACCAATGTTAATTCTTAGTGTTGAAAAATGTACTTTGACCATGTACATTAGGGGAAACCGGGTGAGGGTGTATAGGAACTCTTTGTCTTATTTTTGCAACTTTTCTGTAAATTTAAAATTAATCCAAAATAAAAAAATTGTTAAAAAAAATCTCTTCCTGATCCTTCAGTTAACAAAGCCCTTGACCTATTATCAGGTAAAAGAAATTAAAGAACTGCCTTACATCAACTCAGGCTGCCTATTTGTAGGTAGAACAACTGTTGTTTAATTTGTTTCATTGGAGTGCTTGCAAACTTATTAATAATCACAAAACACATTTGCTAAATATATAGGACTGACAATTAAAGCAGAATTGATGTTTCTTTACTCTTCATTCCTTGTGCTTTCATGTAGAGTTTCTACTCAGGTACTTTGTTCCTGGTGATATGTTGTTTTAATGATAATCCTTAAATCATTTCATGGGTGACTGTTCCCATCCACCCCCGTCCTCCTCCAGAGCACTTAATGCAGTGCTGCAGGAAGTAGGTATTCAAAGAGCTCAGATCTCTCTGACTAACTGACTGACTCAATGTGCTACCTGTAATTATGTTTTAAAATTTAATCAGGGCAGGTCTAGGAACTCAAGGGGATAAAGTCAAAATCAACTATTCAAGTTAGGTGTGCATAAATTGTCTAGAATGAATAGGCTTCATCAAAACTTGTCAAATGCAGAGTTTGTCAGTGGAAGCCAGAATATCAAAAATTTAAATCATCCATGTGAAATACACTCAAGACTGAAGGTGAATAGTTCAGTGGTGAAGTTAACATTTCTAGAATAAATTTTGGGCTGAACACAAAGTTACCAGTCTTCTTTCATGTTTTTAATTTTATTTCCTTTTATTTTTTAGATAATCAAGACTTATAAATATTATCTTCCTGTGGTTGTTGCCATAGCTTGAGAAACTTTGCAAAGAGCTGTAATAGCAAGGACCATGTATCTCTCTTACCTTCCTCTGTAGTATTAAGTGAACTAAAGCCAAAGCTATGTAATGATATCCAGAATTGGGACTGAGTTCTGTGTAAAACAGAAAAATAAAAATAAAGAAGATGCCAAGAATTATGATCCATCTAACATTAGAGGTTCCTCAAAGTATTTCTAATATATCATCTCCACTTTTCTAAAATTCCTATAAAACAGATACAAGGCAGAAATTACCATCATTTTCCAGTGGGAAAATAAAAATTCAAAGAGATTAAAAATAGTACCCAGATTAAACTGCCAATTGTAATTTGTAATCATTACTTTGGAAACTAATCATGTGGCATATCTTTAGATCCATATTACTTAATTTATTAAATGAATACAACCCCATACATCTGCATGTAACTCATTTTCTTAATTGTGCTAAGGAAGAAAGTTGAACTCTGTGCCATATGGATCCTTTAAAAGAGACAGATGCATGAAGTTTGGAACAGTGAACATAAGAGCAATATTTGTTTTTCATTTAATTATTTCAATTTTTTATTGTAGAGACAGTAGAGCTTTTTACAGTTTTGGCAAAATGAATTTAAGAAAAAGATTATATATTAGATATATCATTTCCTATTTCTGTAATTAAACTAGGGAGATTTACCTCAGGGGTTTCCAATTATAAAAAGTGGGAAAGTTATCTTTATGATTTCCTGTGGGGAAGTAATAAAGTGGAAATTATTTGGTTGACACAATCACAATATTGTTGGTCAGAAGCCAGGAAAATTGTTGATTTTTCTTACAGGTTTCTTTCTCGGGAATAAAATAGTTTTCAAATACTTGAGTAAGATTTTACATTCAAGTCATTCACAGGAAGTTTTAACATTTGAGCTGATAAAAAGAGGTTACTATTTGAATTACACTGACCTGGCTAGAAAACGGTGCCTTCTAGCCTTCTACAAAATGAAGATGCAACTTAACATACTTTACATATCTGATCAAATATACCATCTATTTTCTATTATGTCTCAAATTGAACGGGAACATTTCTGCATTTGTTGTGAAACCCAACGTTTAACATAAAGAGGTCATAAGGTTTGTTGTTAAAGATAAGGAGATACGGTGTGTCATCTTTTCCAGGAACACTTTGTGTTATTATATTCCATATTAAAATAGGATTCATGGTATTGCTCCACAGCCATCCTCATTAAAAATGGAAATAATCACTAAACCTGGAATTGTGTTTAAAGAATATTGCACATTTCATCCATGTAAACTATTGAGTGAGATTGTTCTCGTACTCATTTGTATATTGATTCATACTACAAATATTTTTGAGTACTCAAACCAGAAATGTACATTGTAAGGAAACCAGAGATGCACAGCACAGTAAAGAGCCCTCTCTGCAAAGAACTTAAAATCTAATGAAGAACCAAAATATGTAAACATTAAATCTTAGATCTTAATCCAGGCTTTGAATGGCATTGGAAAAGAACAGTGCTGTAGGTGTCAGAAGATTGTCTTTAGCGGTAAATGCTGAGTAAGTGCTGTGGTCTTAAGTAAAGAGAGAGTCCTGTGTTTTGGAATCTATGTATTATAATGGTTAAGAACACAGGTTTTAGAGTCAGCCAGACTGGTTTCCAGTCCCAGCTCCTCCCCAGTAGCTGTGTGATCTTGGTCCAAGTCCCTTCACTTCTCTAGGCCCCTGTTTTTTTCTTCTATAAAAATGGAGGTAATAAAATCACCTAGCTTATGGGGTTGTTGTGATGAATAGATGAGATCAACAATGCACAGAAAAGGTCTGTCTAGCACTCATATGCTCTAAGTACCTCCAATTATTAGTGTTTATTATTATAATCAGAAATTTTCCCAAAGAAAACAAGAACTAAGGTGGACCTGCCTAATGTTTGAGCTGAGGGCAAGCCCTGCCTCATTTGTTGCCGATACTCAGGATGAGAGAAGAACAGTGATGCCTCAGTTGGAGACCTACTCAGTAACTGAGTAAATGCATGTAATTTCATTTATGTATGTATTCATCAAATATTTCTTGTGTGCATTCTCATTGATGGCTCATGTGCTATGCACCAGGAATACAAAGGTAAGTAAAAACACTCGGAGTCTTCTTTCAGACTACTGGAGAAGATAGACATCTGAAAAAATGATTATATAAGGATATATCATTATTATAATTAGTATTATGAAGTATCATACCGTGTCTTCAGAGTGTATAATAAGGAAACACCTTCTTAGTTCAGGGAAGACTTTCCTGTGAAAGAAATCAAATGGACTGGATAGGATGGGAGGAGGAGGATAGGTTTTGGCAGGTGGAATAGCATAGGTGAAGGCTCAGTTTGGTATGCCTGAGGCCCTGGGAAACCAATCTGGATGGAGTGTAGAGAGAGTGGAGGCAGATTCATGAGTCTGTAAGCAAGGCTTTAGGGGTTGGATTGAGATCTTTATCCTAGGTATATTAATGGTGTACTATTAAAAGTGTTTAAATAGGGGCATGACATGGTCAGATCTGTGTCTGGAAGAGCACTCTAGCTGTAGTGTGGGGAAGACTAAGAGTACTTTTAGAGAGGTGTCCGTGTGATTGATTGTGTAACCAAGTGATTGAAGGGACTGAACTCAGTAGAGTTTAAACATAAAAAGATTCTACTTTTGTTGCTGACCACAATCTTCAAATGTGCTGATAACATTTCCCTTCAAATTCCTTAATATCTTCAGCAGATTATCATACCTTCAAGATTACTTTCTGTTATTAAAAGTACAGTCCGACCTAGTCCAGTCTTACATGTCCAACTTAAACCCTTCCCTCACCCTTCCCTCAGTGTCCTTCCAGTCCAATCATATGTCAAGGAATGAGGGACATCCTTGTAAGTGGAGTTGGCAAATAGTCTGTGTTTTCACTCTTTTCTATTATAGGTTTTGCTTTGTTCCCTGGCCTGTGGAGCTGGGTGGAGGACTGGGGACAAGTCACAAACGTATCCAATTTAATGTGAGCTGCTGTTGATATACTTGGTTTGGTAGGCATCCACATGCTGCCTCTATCTGATGAGCCGTTCTTCAGGAAGCCAAACAAGGGCCTCTGCACAGTCGCCTGATGTAGGACAGGCCACCTCTTCTGATACCTTCCTTAGCAACATGTTCCCTAGCATCTTGGTGTTGGGATCCCATCACTTGGTGCAGAGCTCCCTTGGGCATATACCAGCAATTAACTTCAAGCTTGACTTTCTTACTCAGTATCTTCTGGAAAATCCAAGCATCTTGCTCCAATCCAAGTGGCACTTCAACTAGTGCCACTTCTTTCTGTTCTCCAATACTTGTTTTTCTTCTGTTTGGGTTAGTGCCAAGATTAGTTAACTCCACTGCCTGCATAGATGTCCAACTCAACAATGAGACACTGTTATCTCCTTCTTATGGGTATATCTAGTCCTTACAAGTAATTTTATTGGGTTCCTTAACTTGGCTTCGGGGGAGAGGAAGAGCCACATTACTTGTCCCCAGCAACTCCCATATATTTCTCTCATCCATGTATAACACATAATATGTAGATAATGCAGTGGGGAGGAGGAAAGGATGGGAGACTGATGCTTGGAGGAGCAATGCCAGTTCTGTTGCCTCTCATTAACCCACTGATTCTCTTTAAATGATTCTCTTTAAATAGATTCTTGATGTTTATTGTATTCAGCTTTGGAGCATTGGTGGCAATTCTGAGAACACAAGAAGAGAACAGTTTACCATACTGAATTATTAAATGTGGGAGAAGAGAGTCAATGATGATTTCCCATTTCTAACCAAGAAAATGGAAGGATGGTGAGACAGGGGAAAGTCAAGAGGATTAAATTGTTAGGACAGAGGGAGAGCTAGAGGTATAACTGTAGGAGTTATTGGTGTATAGATAATAATCAAAGGCATCAGTAGGCATATAACTACCTAGGGAATGCATAGAGTAAGAAGAAGAGTAGGTCTAATATTGATCTTTAAGGGATTCCAACAATTAAAGGCTGAATAGAGGAGAAAAAGTTGGCCAAAGAGACTTAGAAAGAATGATAGAAGGTAAACAAGGAGAGTGCTGAAATGTCAGGTCAGCTGAGGACTAAAATGTCCATCGGATTTAACAACCTGGAGACCATGTGGCCATCTTAGTGACAGTCAGTTCAGACAAGTGGAAATAGAAGTTAGATCAAAGTGAGTTTAAAAAGAAATGTGTAGTGAGAAAAAGAAGGCAGAGAGTAGACACATTCTTTATGTTTGACTGTGGAGGGGAGACAGAGATAGGGTGGTAGCAAAAGGAGGAAGTGGGGTTGAGGGAGTATCTTTATGGAACTGAGTATGTTTGAAAGCTGACAGGAAGGATCCAGTATGGGGGGGCTAGGAGGAGCAGGAATTGAATATGTAAGAGAGAAGGCAGATAGGGTGAAATCCAGAGCACAGCAGGATAAACTGGCCCTAGGGAAAAAGGAAAGCAGAAAAGGGTTGGTACAATTTTATGTAGATGTATAGATTTCACTTTGTGGAAATTGAGGGAGTTTCTGACCCTTTTGTATAGTAGAGGTGAAGTTTTAGGGAGTGATTTTAGGTACACTAAAAACAAAAGAGTATTTATTATTATTGCTTTGTGACCATCTTAAAAGCCTTCAGATTCCAAATTCAATTTGACCTATGACATTTTCCAGGGTAACATGTCTCCTTCCCCATGTATTGCTTGGAATTTGCTGAAATAGCCCGGGTGCGGTGGCTCACACCTGTAATCCCAACACTTTAGGAGGCTGAGGCAGGAAGATCACTTGAGGCTGAGAGTTGCAAGACCAGCCTGAGCAATATAGCGAGACACTGTATCTACCAAAAACAAACAAACAAACAAACAAACAAACCCTTTAGCTGGGCGTGGTGGTTTACACCTGTAGTCCTAGCTACTCAGGAAGTTGAGACAGGAGGATTGCTTGAGTTTAAGGCTGCAGTGAACTATGATCACACCACTGCACTCCAGCCTGGGCAACAGAGAAAGATCCTGCTTTAAAAACAAATGAAGATTTAAAACGTTTTGAAAGCTAAAACAGAAGTTTTTTTTGGTAGCCATTATTAGTTTACTCATTAATACACATCCCAACAAAAGCCTATGAGATTAGGAAAGAGGGCAAAGTATTTCAGTGATCTCAGTAGTTTAAATTTAAAGGCTTGGTTCTAAGATCACTTTATTTTGACCATAGACTTTAGCTCCAGGGCTTATTTTCATGATTACCATAAAATACAGTGTCCTTAGTCAACATGTAATAAGCAAAAACTACAGAATAAGCTTGGATTTCTAAGCATCTTCCCATAGAAATAAAGTTAGAAACTCCTGAATAATTATAACATATCTCATTATAAAACATTTACTGAGTGACCGGCATGCCTAGAAAACCAGGACAGTGAGTATTGTATGGCCCCAATTTCAAATGGACTTACAGACCTAGAGGTGAAAGGATAAATTATTTAAATTTTCTTTAACAGAAGTCAGTTTCTGAGCACAGTAGTCTCCTCTTGTCTGTGATTGTGCTTTCTACACTTTCATTTACCTGAAGTCAACCATGGTCCAAAAATGGGTAAATACAGCATAAGATATTTTGAGAGAGAGGGAGACCACATTCCTATAACTTTTATTATAGTATATTGTTATAATTGTTC